TAGAGCGCCAGGCATCCGGAATATTTTTTTGGTATAAGTTTGCTCCAAAAAGTTTAAAATTGTAACAATGTTGTTTCATACTAGTAAAAAACTAACGTTAATCGTTAAAATAGTGATATTGACTGTTAATATTTTTAATAATAAAGTCAAATTGTTACGATTTTAAACTTTCAAAACAAATTTACATCTAAAAAAACTTTCAAGCCCGATACCTCTAAATGAAAAATAAATTTGTACATTCACTCATTAATTATTTAGGTTCTATATTTATAATTAGATGAGTAAGACATTATACATATTACTACCTTCATTTTTAATTATAAAATCTCATTTTTAATCTACAAATAATATTTTATAACTAGGAAGGAAGGTATTATAACAAAATGCTTGTTACTAACTATGCTTTGTTTTTAGATAAAATCGTCACTAATTATGCTTTCTTGTGCTTAAGATTGATTGATGGGCTCCTCGAGGAAAGGTGTAAAGTCCCGTTTTTTTAATCTGATTTCAATTTTTTCAAAAAAAAAAGAAAAAAACTTACACATGAACTAATTTATGCTCATCTATGAGATGAGTGGAGTCCAGAGATTGCTAATCTCATCCCTAAATCCTATGATTAAAATATGAAATCAACCATTGGATTTGAATGGTTTATATTTTAAATTTAATCAAATTATATGAAACTTTCTTGAACTTGGAATTATGCATAACTAGTTTTCTTAGCCATTAAAACTAAATAATAAACCTCCTTCAATTTCAAGTCTACGTAGATAACTCCAAGCCATCAATTTTATACCCCATTAAACTTTGTTTTTATATGTATATAGAACCACTTCAAATTTTGAGTTGCAGAAAAACTTAATAAACACGGTTTTCTTATATTTTATCAGAGTTTCCTGGCATTTTTATGTTTTTTTTCCAATAGAAAATATAGATTTTAGGCTAATTTTAATTTTTCGTCACATCACCTTAAAAATATATTAGTTGTTTTAGAAAAAAGGAAAGATCCATTGTTCATGTTGTTCATGAGTAATCTAAATGCTCTATCTTTTAGTTGATCTACAGTGAATTTATTTGGATATGCAGAAATTACATGTTCGTTAAGTTTTAAAAAAAATTAATCGGAGCAAATTTTCACAATATACTATAACCATACTAATTAAAAAAAAAACACAACTTTGTATTGGATGAAGGAACTCAATTTTTTCTCATGTAAAAGGATTCAAGCAATGATTTATTTTTTTCAAAAAAAAGGTTATATTGAGAGAGATAATACACAAATTTAACTCCCATTTCTTATTCTTAATGTTAAAGCTTATTTATAACATGTATCCACTTGGTTTAATTAATTAATATCTCAACTGTCAACTGCCAATAAGGTCCTGCATTCACTCAGAGCAACAGTAGAAATGATATTGAAAATCTTATGAAAAGACATATGTGACTTTTTTTATTTTAAAAATTATCATTATAAACTGTCAATAATAAAAAAAAACCTAATGAACTCCCAATAAAAAAAATAATTTTCACCAAGTTCCAGTAATAAATTGGAAGTTGTCATTTTTTATTTTGAAAATTATCATTACAAACTGCTTAGGTTGTTATTAAGAATTTTTAGTAATTATATTTTTTTTAGACTTAATTAAAATCCTTCCTTTTTTACTCTAAATTCTCCAATTGGAACAATCTTATTCAAAATATCTTCAAGAGTTAAATGTAAGGCATCTCTTTTTATAAAAATTCAAACTTTGGTTCATTATATCATGGAAATTATAAGAAAGTGTGAAAAGATTATCTATCATGGCTGGGGCCAAAATGTAAGACGTGGACCCCCTCATTTAATTGGTACTATAAATTGAATGACACCCATCCAATCTATATTTAGAAACAAGAAATATAGGATTGTGAACATGAATTAGAGTTTCTATGATTGTGAGGCTAGTTATGGGTTTAACGAGCTAAAATAAAATGGAAAATTGAAGGCGTAAGGAATGCTAAATTCTTTCATGCCATATTGAAAAGAAGAACAACAAAAATTGTAAGGCCTCAAATTAAGCTTGAAAGATCTAAAGCCTATAAACCTATGCAATGTGACCTCCAAAGTCCTTTGCAACTGCTTAAAAAAAAGCCATTAGATTATTATGTTGCTCCTAGTATTATCTTCGATCTTTGATATAAGAACTAGTTTGACATTTAATTTGATCCTAAATATAATCTTTCAATCCACTTTGTCTATCATATTTATCTATTTTTCTCAAAGTAGTCGTTGTAGTAGTTGCACATATTAAATATTTTGTTAAATAGTAATTCTAGCTAATACATATAACTAGCAAAGGTATTTTAGAAAAATCGACAGATATTTATTACAAATAACTAACTTAACTAATTTTCTTAATTTATTCAAATTAGTTTAGGTAACTTTTATATTATGAACCGGAGGTAGTATTTAGTATCAAATCTTATTTAATGGTTAACTCACCAATGTCATTCCACCTCATGCGGAATTGGGTAGGGATATCCCTCATCTCCTTATGTGTGTGTGTATATATGCTCTCCGAAAATGTTTTGTCTTTCATGATTAATCATTTGGAATGTATTAATAAGTGGGAAATCATCAAAATCTGTAGAAATGCTCAATCCATCTCTCATTTATTTTATGTTGATAACTCCTTTCTTTGAAAGCTCTCATCATTATAAATGTTAAAACTGTTAAGATGTCAATTCATACTTATTGCAAATTGTTAAGGTAGAAAATCAACAAATCAGAATTTTCTCTCATTTTGAACCCTAATATGTGCCCCATAGCACTAAAATCCATCTTTGTTATATTACTGGAGTCAGTTTCTCTCTCCAAATCTGGGAAATACCATAGCATCTGGAAGGCTGAAATGATAGATAATCTCAACAAGTCATTGACTATGCTGAAAGAAGAATAATGTGGCTCTATAGGAGATAAAATGTAATCCAATCTTAGTTACCATAAAATTATTGGGTTAAGGTTCAATTTTGTTTTAAAGTTTCCGCTCAGGAGGTGTGGACATCTGAAAGTTTTTTAGGAGCAATGTCATCCTAGAAATTGCATGGCGACATTGTTATGTTTTGGTAAATTCTGGAGCAATATTGCTTTTAAGAAAACTTTCAGATACCTACAAATTCTGAGTGAAAAATTTTCAAAGCAAAATTGCACATTAACCCTAAAAATGTTTGGTAAGTTATTAAGAATATTGTGAAAAAAATTAATCATCAAATAAAATAACAATACAGTGTCCATAATATCCTTGGGAAAGAAAAGTGCAAAGTCCCTCAGTAGTGACTTGGGTAGAGGCCAGAAAAGAAGTTTGGCTTGGAGGAAAAGCAACACCAGTTTATTTATTTATAGCTACTTTTTAGTCTTGTGTTTCCTTATACTATTTCTTTTACATTGGACTAAAGTGATTTGTATTGGTGCTGGTTCCAAAAAAAAGGGGTGATTTGTATGGGTTGCTTAATGTTGTGAAAGTTTTAGTTTGATTTTATTTTGGCTCTAAATATAAGATTTTAATTTATTTTGTTTCTCATATTTATTTATTTTTTATAAGATAATTCTTATAGTAATGGTAACTTTAGCTAATACACTTAATTGGGAATGATATTTTAAGAAAAAAATACTTATTTATTACAAACAACTAATTTAAGTAATTTTTTTAATTTATTTAAATTAATCAACTAGTTCTTATACTAATAATCAGAAGTAGTACTTTCTTATATATCTTTTTACATATATTAAAATAAAATTGTCCTTTTATACTACCTCCGGTCCTAATTATAAAACTTCTTTTATAGTATATCAATTGGATCTTATAATTAGGACCCGTTAATGAAACACACATATACACATGCTGATTGATTTGGAGATTAGATTTTTTTTAATAAAAAGCATGAAATCAAATAAATGTATTATCATCATTAATATTTATTATTATAAAGTATAAAATTATCAAAAACATAAAATAAAATTATTATATGGACTCATAAAAAAACATTAAAACAAAGAACAGCCGCAGGTATCAAAATTTAAGAAATAAATGTATAAAAACTCAGATAGCCCGAAATCGTTGGAATGGAGCCATAAAAACACTTTTAACATGCATGTGGTTCCAAAACAATTCAAATACTAAAATCAAATAATTCAACTTCTATACCTTTATTTCAGGGATATCAAGAGTATTATATACTTCTTTGTTCGAATATACAAGAGCGATACTTCTTTGTTCGAATATACGAGAGTGAAAAAATAAAACAATAATAATAATATTACAGACAACCATCTGCTTCTGCAGGTCACTGCTCCTTCATGGCTAAGAAAAGGAAGAAAAACCCAAAAGAGAAAGAAAATTGCTAGAACAAGAACTGTTTTTTGCAATCGCGTCGTCTTCTTCTTCGTCATCTTCAACCCTAACCCCTTTCCTATTTCACTCTCTTAATCTCACTCTGCAACAGTTAGTTCCAGAATTCTAACCAAATACATCACCAAATTAAAGTATTCCAAAAAATTTTCCTTCCGGTTCTCTTTATCTTTCCTTTTCCCTGAAAATTTCCCCTCCAAATTCATCACTTCTTCTTCCTCTTCCAATGTTGTCTTCTCCTTTGCTTGATACCTTCACTCTCTTCTTCAGTCTCCCATTCATCTTCTTCTTCGCTCCACAAATCCCCCCTCCGGCTGATTTCATGTTCACCGTCTCCGACGACCTCGACGACCTCCATTGGGCTCAGCACCTCTGCCCCCACTTCAACAGCCAACACTGGTAGCTCTAACACGGGGGCAGCTTCTAGCTTGCAACAAGTCTCCATTTAGTTCCTCCTTTAATTCCTCTTCTGGCTTTTCCTTTGGAGGATCAGGTGGTTCTGTTTCATCTACTTCTAGTTCATCCGTGTTTGGATCGTCCACTGCTTCTAGTGCTTCATCTGCTAGCACTCCCATGTTTGGATCTTTCACTTCTGTTGCTTCAAGTAGCACACCCATGTTTGGATCATCACTTGGTGCATCATCGAGTCCCATTTTCTCATTTAGTTCATCTGCAACGACTACTTCCACACAGCCTGTTTTTGGTAATCCTAGTCCTGGCTTCTCATTTGGTTCAGCTGCTAATAATGATCAGATGAGTATGGAAGACAGCAGGGCAAAGGACCCAGTTCAATCACCTTCACCTCTGACTCCTGCGACTCCTGCATTTGTTCAACAACCTGCCCCTCCTCAACCAAAGTTTGTTTTTGGAACACCATCTTCATCGGGAGTTGGTCCCTTCCAGCTTGGAACTCAGCAGAATATTCCTCCACAGAACCCATCCCCATTTCAGGCTTCTGGCAGTCTAGAATTCAATGGTGCAGGTAGTTTCTCACTTAGGACTGGTGGTGGTGACAAGTCTGGTCGTAAATTTGTGAAAGTCAATAAAATTAGGGCACGCAAGAATACTCCATTTAGTTCCTCATTTAATTCGTCTTCTGGCTTTTCCTTTGGAGTATCAAGTGGTTCTGTTTCATCTACTTCTAGTTCATCTGTGCTTGGTGTTGGAAATTGTGCCATAGGGGTTAATCATTATGTTTTGAACATTGTTAATTTATGAATTTATTAATTATGTTATCATATTATTTGTATGTTTACTGTGATGACTATCCTTGGATAACTCATGGTTTATCCTAAATGTCCCTGGTCGGTCATCTATGTGGGAGCAGAGATGAAATAAGACCAATATGACTTTAAAGATATATAGAGATATAAATTAAAGTCATAGGCACATGTAAGAGTACAAGGTGTTGGACCGATCCGCTATGAGAGAACTGCATGGGTTAAGTCATAAGCTTCTCTCATATACAAACCATGTCACTGTGCCCTTTGACCTGAGATCATCATGGATTCCTACATGAGAAACGCTTAGCTTTGACCTAGTCAAAAGTCACTTTTGACCGAGTGATCATAAAGACTATGTTCAGGCTTAGTGGTTTTTCATGCGGAGGAATGTGAATGGTCAAGATGGAATTTGTCCCTCACATTCGTAGAGAGATATTACTGGGCCCCTCGATGAGTGAGTCTGAGAAATGTATGGCCATACTATAATGGAAAGGTAGTTCCATTTCTATACTCAGACTACTCAGGGATCGAGAAAGTAACGGTCATGAATAGGAGGATGACGTTCTCCATGCCTCATCTATGACCAAAATGTCGTGTGACAAAAGGGATGCGATATGGTTGTATGAAAGGTTACATCGTTCAACGATCCTCATATGATTTGGGTAGTCGTAATGTCTTGCTAGAGACCGCTTACGACCTGTGAGTCATTATAGTTAATGGCCCACTGCCAACTTTATATGGGCCTACAGGGTCGCACACAAAATAGCCCAACGCGAGTTATGATGTCCAAATTCATTGAATCTAAGATATGTCCAGATTCAATGAATAATATAGGGTGGACATGTATATATATATTCGTGTATATATATATTATATAAATATAAGAGATATTAATTGTTAGATTTAATTTATAAGGATAAATTAGATCTATGTAAATTAATTCTGTCATATATTTATTTTTGAATTAAATAAATAGGTGAATTAAATCTGTGAGACAGATTTAATATAAACCATATTTATTTAATTATTCTCTTATTTGATTAGGCAATATTTGATATTGTATTAATTTCGGAATTAATTTAGAATTAATTTCGAAATTAAAAATCATTCATTAAACCTGTAGCATCCTATATATTTGATATGAGGAGCTAGGGTTTTAAGAGAGAGAGCGAAAGCACTAAGCAGATAAGGGACGGCTAAAAGTGAGAAGAGAGGACGGATTTTTGAAAACCCTAGACGGACATAGACGCTAGCACGTCGTTCGAGATTGAGGGCTACTCGTGTGGATACCGGTAGAGGAAGCCGGCCGGAGTTGTCGACTTCGAACGACAAAGGAGGCGAGCAGAGGCATCCTGAACGGCGGAATCACCGAGCCACCTGGAAATCGAACACCGAAAGTAATGCTTCTTACTACCTAACTTAAACGCGATCGGTAGATCCGGACAAGGGGTTGAAAGTTTTAAATTTTAAGTTGATTTCCGCTGCGTGTTGTCTTTCAATTCCCTTCATTTGGATCGTCCACTGCTTCTAGTGCTTCATCTGCTAGCACTCCCATGTTTGGATCTTTGACTTCTGTTGCTTCAAGTAGCACACCCATGTTTGGATCATCACTTGGTGCATCATCGAGTCCCATTTTCTCATTTAGTTCATCTGCAACGACTACTTCCACACAGCCTGTTTTTGGTAATCCTGGTCCTGGCTTCTCATTTGGTTCAGCTGCTAATAATGATCAGATGAGTATGGAAGAGGACCCAGTTCAATCATCTTCACCTCTGACTCCTGTGACTCCTGCATTTTTTCAACAACTTGCTCCGCCTCAACCAAAGTTTGTTTTTGGAGCACCATCTTCATCAGGAACTAATCCCTTCCGGTTTGGAACTCAGCAGAATATTCCTCCACAGAACGCATCCCCATTTCAGGCTTCTGGCAGTGTAGAATTCAATGGTGCAGGGAGTTTCTCACTTAGGACTGGTGGTGGTGACAAGTCTGGTCGTAAATTTGTGAAAGTCAGTAAAAATAGGACGCGCAAGAAGTAAGACTTGCTCTATTAAAAGGTTGTATTGTTCCACAGTGTTGATCTACACTGTCTTCCATGAGATAAATAATTAAAAACGGTGGGTGGTCGCGGATGTCACTTTTCAGATGACAATCGAGAATTAAGTGGTGCTATTGAAGCAAATCATATCCAGGTTTGTTGGTCCTAAACTTTCACTTGTCTCCCGGATTCTTATAGATTGCAAAGGCGCGAGTTTTCACAATTTTGTTTCACTATGGACATAAATCTTCTGTACTTGTGATGGCTCGAGTTTCAAAGATCAAGATATGGTCACCTAAGATGATCGGCGAGCCCTGTACTGTTGCCTTGTATTGTAACTAGAAGTAGGTGTGAATTATTAGCTTGTAGTTTGCACTTCCCTCCGGGAATCTGTAAACCGACGATTTCTTAGTTGTGTCATTTTGTTTAATTATTTGCTGTCTCCGGTAACGGGAATTTTTGAGACAATATGAACATTTGTCTGTACAATGTTGAGCTGGTCGTTAGCATACAAGCCTTTCTGCCTTGTGATATTCCTCAATATTGAATTTTAGGTTTCTATCTCAAGTCTGGTGGATGCCATACCACCTAGAAATACAAGATTGTGGGTTACAAGTTTAGAGGGCAATGTAGCATTTGTAGACACATTGACCTTAAATTGTAACTTCTCTTAAATTTTAAGCAATGTAATCAGCCATTTGACTTGTTGCTTCTTTTGGCAGTGATATACAAAGATGTCCATTTCAAGATGCCCTCAGGGGTTGTCCATGTCAAGTTGTACCGATGCATAATTTTTTTTCATTAAATATTCTTATTATCTATGATAGACATTTATGTTGAGATCTCAAATTTCGGAATAATTTGGGAGAGATGCTATTAGCAAATTTTAATTGAGGAAAAAGGGGACGAAAAAAAAAAAAGAAAGTTCAAGCCTGCAAACAAAATTTTTAATTAGTAATTTTGTTACTAAATTTTAAGTGTCACTAATTTTCTTCATTAATTTATTTTACAAAATTTGTGTCAATAAAAATTAATAAGAGAATATATCCGTGATTAAAATGTTTGGCATTAAATTTTATTATTTTCAATTTATAACAAAATTAAGAACATAATAATTTAAATATATTTTCAATTTATAACGACATATTTATGAAATTGGTGTTAATTAGAATATCTCACTGATTTCATGATTGGACAAATGATTCCTTATAAAACTTGTTTTGTGTTTCATTAAATCAATTTTTTTATCATTAATAATAATTAAGCAAATGCGATAAAAATCAATAATTCTCTTATGAAAATTAATATAACAAAGAATTAATTGTATATATAGAATATATTCAAAAACATAATACATGATAGAAATCCCAAATCCACAAATGAATTTGTTTGAACACCTTCAAACAATGAAATTAATGATATAATTAATAACTCATGACATAAAATAATTCAGTTTTATAATAATCTCTTCAATTAATTTTGTATAATAGAATAATGGGATTATTTATTAGGGTTAACATAATTTTTTTGTCCCTAAAATTTGGACCTATTTTAATTTTTGTCCCTCAAATTTTAAACTCGTAATTTTAATCCTTGAAATTTTTTTTTTCTTTTCTGTTATCTTCACAAGATCTAATTAGATGCTATTTGGTGAGCCCAAACCATCATTTTAATGCTGTTCAATACTATTACATCTCTAGGTATAAACGTTTTAAAATGAACTTCTAGGTAGGAAGGCCAAAATTCATGACAAGTATAAAGACCTAGGGTGGGTTTTATTCTATTTTAAATTCTCTCTGGACATGATCCATCCATAACATTTTTCCTAGCTTTCATCACAATTTATAATTTGTTGTTTTTAATAAGTTACATTCCATCAAATTATTATCCATCACATTGGAAGAAATCTAGCTCCTAAAACAAGGCAACTTTGATTAAAAAATGGGAATGTAAACCATAAATACAGATCTCCATCAGTCTCACATTTTAAAAACGTTTAGGTTGCATATCTTATTCAAATTGTTTTATTGAGATATGGATTGTTCATATTCTATTAATTTTTTTATTTTTAAAAATTTGTAATTTCGAGATTGACAAACTGAATTGATCTTGCAAATGTGAAATAGAGAAATTTGAATGTTGTTCAATTTTTACCGGTTAGATTTGAATTCATATTAATTAATGGTCATGTATTTATATGTTTTCCTGAAATAAATTATAAATTTCCATCCATAATAATCGCAAACTTTAACTGCTTATTTTGTTAGATAAAACTATCTTCAAGTTATGGTAGTATATATAATTACAAGGGTTCAAATTTAAAACCTTTAACTAATAATTTTAAGATAAAATGTTAGTTTTTTTAAAAAATGAACAGTTAAGAAATTATTTAGTTTTAATTCTGTATGTATTAAAATAATTTTTTTTCATAAATACAAGAATGAAACAAGTAAATCTAAACTATCTCAGTTAGATATGAACAACCTTGATTTCAGCACTTATCACTACTGATCAGCACAAACCACTCCCACGAAACAACACTCGTGAGCATGACCCGTAGTCTGGAGAGCTATCAATAAAGGTTAGCTTGGGAAGGGCTAGGGCTTAAAAGAGTTAGCTCTTTAAAACTCGTATACCTTAAAATTATCTAAGTATTAAAGTCCGATCCTTGGATATGTGGGCTCAATGCCTAAAAAAGCTAGCTCTTTTATATTATTATTTTTAAATATAAATTCTTTTCAATTTTTTGAAAAAAAATAAAACAATAAAACTTCAAAAAAATTTTATTCAAAATATAAATATTTGTAAAATAAACTAATGGTGTATAGGGAAAAAAACATCAAATAAACTATTACCCAAACTCCAAAAGAAAAACACCAAAACCAAAACCAAATGAAACAAGGAAAGTAGAAAGATAAAAAGTAAGCGGTTAAAAATTAACAACATCAATATGATTATTATCTTCATCACTATCATCAAGATTAGCAATATTTGATTGTTCTTCATTACAATTGGACTCTTCTTTAATGATAAAAATATCAAGGTTTTTGTCTTCATCATAACTAAATCTGAACATTTGTTAGAATAAGAAAATTTTAATGCTTTTTTAAGACATGTGAAGTGATGGTAACAGAAAATTTACTAGTTACTATAGTGATTGGAATGCTAAGAATATCAGTTGTCATTCTTGAAAGAACTGAAAAATGATTTTAATTGTTCTTCCACCAGTCTAAGACATCTAATTCTTTTCATTTATCTGATAAGTATTGGTTCTTCTAAATAATACTGGTTCACAATTATATAAATATATCAATAATAAAAAAAATAGATGTGCTTAAAAGGGTTGGCTCTTGGTCCTAATGGGTTGATCTTTTTATTTCTGAGTTCTATAAGATTTGCCCTTTTAAGTCCAATTTTTTTAAACCTTTTAAAATATAAACCTGGCTCTTTACTTAAAAAAGCTTAAATGTGTTGGTCTGACAAGCTTAACCTGTTTTTATAATTGTAGTGACCCCTAAGAGGAAATGTCCTTTCTAGTGGAAGATCTGTGGTTGTTAATTTCCATTTTTATGAGAGCCAATTTTAAGGGGAATAGTGTTAAAGAGCTTTTTACAAAGGTATTTGTGGATATATTTGTACTAAATGCATTGAGAGCATTTGGTTTAAAAGAGACACTAAACATTGTGTGAAATCATACCGTGTGATAAGGGTAGAATTGTAAACAAACAAAATTTATTTTTTGAACGATATATTACAATATATATCCACATATCAAATAAAAGCAAACTGGGAGAAGTTTGCCAACATTCTACCACAATCCTATTTAATGACCGAGGGGGTGTTTGGATGAAATTAAACTATGGTTTGGAGAATAGATTTTGTGAAAAAATGATTCTGATAAAGTGAGAGTATTTGAATAGTTGTTATCAAAAGCATCTTTTATATGTGAAAATTACTAAAAAAGACATAAGTTAATATAATAATTACATAAAAGATAGATTTTATAATATATTTGAATTTGAAGAAATAAATTTGTTGATAATATATTTTTTACCAACATAATTAATAATATATAAGAAAATGTTAATAAATAATTAATATGTGTGTATATATATTTATAAAACATAATATTAAATATGTTTATAGAAAAATAATTTTTTTCCGCTAACAAAAAATTTTTAATTTTCTTTAAAGATTTTAAACATGAAATCTCATAACATTTTTTCACAACTAGTTTTTGTAACAACATACTACCTTTGATCTTTAATATAAACAATTAATTAATTGTTACTACCTGTATATATATATTTATAAAATATAAGAGTAAAAATATTTTTGGAGAAGATGAATTATTTTGTTGCAAACAAAAAATTATTAATTTTTCGTGAAGATTATAAACATGAAATAGGATGATATTTTTTGATAAAATTGAATAAACACACTTTAAAACAATTTATTAATTATTAAAGTAAGTAATAATTGGTGTGAGAATATAAGGTATAACATTAATAAAAGGAATATAAATAAAAAGTGTCGTAATAATTAAAATGCTGCATCAATGCAGAGCATTTGTAATAGGTTTTTTTAACTACATATTACAATCAATGATAAAAGGAAATAAATAAGACATGACTACTATCTTTGTATTGAATTAACAAGTTCGTCTTTTATGCTGTCACGAACTCAAGCTATGTAAGATGAAGATTTAATTGATGAATGTATACATGAAAATCCAACTCCATCATCATCTTCTTCTGTATAAGTACTTTCTTCTTCGAATTGAACGAATCCAGGGTCAGTAATAGATGTCGTTCTAATAAAATTACGTATAGCCTCTTTGCATAAATGATTTTAACTTGTGTTTCATAGTCATAGGATGGCATGTTTCGTAAGATCATAAACTTATTTTTCCAAACTCCGAAAGTTCTTTCAACTGTACTCCTTAAACTTGAATGGAAATAATTAAAGACCTCATTTTCATTTTCAAACGTAGATGTCCTTCGAAAATCAGGCAGATGG